CTTGGCTTCATGCCGAGGTGGGGTTGCACTAAAGTTGCCTAGGCTGGGCTCAGATTTGCAGACCTCCTTCCTCAGCCTCCCCCGAATGCTGGGATTACAAGGTTGTACCACTGTACTCAGCACATCTTTCCCTTTTTTCTTTCACTTAGGGTAGCCATATGCTGCCCCTGCCGTGGCTCACTGTGTTGTGTGTAGCAGGGCTCTCCTGTACCCAGGTGCGGACATCTCTGAGAAAGCAGGCCAAGACTGAAGCAAAACTGCCTGTTAGGTGTCACTGCCCTGCCTTGATGGGTGTGCAAGAAGGGGTGTTGAGTCAGCCCCCACCCAGCTCTCTGTCTAGGCTAGAGACAAGGCATTGCTCTCAGCTCTGTTCATTACCAGTGACTGCTCCCCAGCACCTGCCCTGCTACATTAGGGTCTCCCACTGGTCATCCCTTCTGTGGCCCACCTCCCACTCTGCACATGTTTTGGGCCTCCCTGCTTCACTGGTGCTAGTGTTGGGGTCTCCTAGTGATGGGGGGTGGTTACCATTCCCTCCCTTTCTTGGGAAATTGAGATGCCCAGTTTATGTTGTCTGGAGGGCATACGAGCCTTCAGGACCTCCTCTGAGACACTGTCATATCCCTGTACAGTGTTCCTTTGTTATGGTGACATCCTTCGAGCACCTAGGATGTAGCTGTGCCTGGCCTCAGTGTCGACAGAGGAGTGAGAGTGGGCCCCGTACAGAGGGGCCCTTCTTGGCCTCCCTGTGCTGATCCTTATAGCCTTCCGGTCTTTGACAGGAGCACTGCTCTATCCACTAAGGCCATACTCTAGGATGAAGGGACCAGAGCTCTGGAAGACACACAGAATCTGGGGGAGTCTGTGGGCTTCAAGGTTTCTCTTGCATCTGCCCTCTCACCCTGGTGATTTCTGAGGATGAACTGGGTGACATACCCTTGGGGGCAGATTTTCCAGCAGGTGGACTTCAACAAGCGACCAGGCCGAATGAGCTCCAGGCCCATCAACTTCTCGGTGATCCTGAAGCTGTCCAGTACCAACCTACAGGAGAAGGCCTACCGGGTGAGGCAGGCTCCGGGCCCAGGGAGAGCATATGGCTGTGCTTGGGTGGGGTTGAGATGGACAGGAGAGACCTGTTGGTCTCAGCTTCAGGCAGGGACCTTACCTTTTAAGTCTCCTGAGTTAGGGACCAGGTGCTCTTTAGTCCTAGCCCCTGGGAGTCTTGAGTGTGGCTTGGTGGGGTGAGGGATGGCACTTGTGCTCTGTCCTGGAGATTGAGTGGACTCATCAGCTTGAGGTCAGAGGCCCTAAGTGCCTATGCCCAATCCCCTGGTGAGCTTAGTCTTGTCCTGCTACCTCAGGATGGGTTGGTGGAGCAGCTGTATGACCTTATCCTGGAGTACCTGTATGGCGAGGCCCACAGCATTGCCTTCCCAGAGCTGGCGCTGCCTACTATACTGCAGGTATGTTCCTATTGCCTGGTTTTCCTTGAAACACAAACACAGGCCAAAGCAAGGTGTCCTGGTCCAGTCACACAGGGCCAACAGCAGAGCCCAAGCAGTTTATGGAGTCAGCACTGGACCTCTGTGGAGCCATAGTATGATGATGTTCACAGGGATATTGGACCCTTAGGGGTCTTTCTCCTCAGGGGCCATGGAGTTGGATCTGGGCAAGGGATTATCAGCTGTGCAGGTTGGGATGGACCTGGGTGACACACTGGCTCCTCTGCAGGCTGTCTGAGCCTGCTATGGCTCAGAAGTCTGAACCTTGGGCAGGGCTGATCCCCTGCTGCTTTCCCAGGTGGTCCTCAAGGAGGGGTGGGGATTCTCTTGAAAGGTCCCTCTGTGCCCATGAGTATCTGCTTGCTCTCAGCCCTGCGACATTTCATCTCAGGTAGGCCTGTGCTTCTCAAAGGAGCAGGCACAGATGTCTCCATCTGGCCCCAGAAGGTAGATCAGCTGTGGTAGTCACAGGCTGCTGGGAGAGCTACTGCTCACACCAGTGCTAGACCTGGCCCAAGCCTGACACAAGTGTATGTGCGAGGAAGCAGTTGCACACCTGTAACTGCGCATACTGAGTCATGGTCACACCTAGTGTGTGGTATGGTCTCTCCCTCCTGTGTTTTCTTGGCTGATGATGCCTAGCAATCAGGGCACCTGCTTCTGGGATCAAGGTCCCAGGATTGCAGCTCTAGAGTAGAAATTTTTTTTTTTTTGTAAATAAAATGCCAAATAGTAAATATGTACTTTAAGGGGCTGGAGATTTAGCTTAGTGGCAGAGTGCCTGCCTGGCAAGCATGAGGTTGCAAGTTCAATTCCCAGTACCAAAAAAAAAAAAAGAAAAAACCCAGTAAATATGTACTTTAGATTTTGCAGGTTATATGGTTTCTCACAGCTGTTCTGTGGTCACCTCTGCCCACAGTGCAAAAGCAGCTGAGAAACAAATGCATGCTGTGTGCAGTGCAGCTTTATTTACTAGATAGGCAGTCGACAGGGTGGGGCCTTTAGTAGGGGCTGATTCACCCCTTTGGCCCTGCCACCCATTTATGGGCACTTGGGTCTGAAACAGATTTTTGTTGTGCCTATTAGGACCATGGGTGGCTAGTGTGGGTCCTGGGCTTTGGGTGCAAAGCAGCCCTGCATGGGAGCTGGCTGAGCCCCCTCCCTTCTGCAGCTGAAGTCCTTCCTCCGGGAGTGCAAGGTGGCCAACTACTGCCGGCAGGTGCGCCAGCTGCTGGAGAAGGTGCAGGAGAATGCAGAGTACATCCGCAGCTGCCGCCAGAAGGTGTCTTTTGGTGTATCTGACCAGCTTGCAGTGGTTAGTTGGGAGCCACATCTGGATGGGTGGGGAGGGTGCTGCCTGAGAGAGTACTAGTTCAAGTGTGGCTGAGGTGTAGGGGTGTGCCCAGGGTGGGGCATGACCCTAACCTGCCATAATCCCCAGGATGCTTGGGAGAAACGGGCCCGGGAAGAGGGAACCCCACTTACCAGGTACTATAACCACTGGCGGAAGCTGAGGGACCGAGAGATCCAACTGGAGATCAGTGGCAAAGAGCGGGTATGTGGGGGCCTGGGCTGGGTAGATAGGTCAGCTGCATTCATACCTTGCACGCTGGCATGACTTAAGACCAGGCAGGGGAGATTTTTATTCTGCCCGTAGCTTAGAAGCCAGGGACGGCTTCAGCAGGGTAGAGCAAAGCTCTGGCTGGCTGACAAGGCAGTGAACCTATACTCAGCTTGGAGGGGGGATGGGTATAAGGTTTCATGAAGATCTGGCTAGAATTAGGGGGCTTCTTTCCGAACCCCAGTTGCATTGGGGTGGAGGCCCCTCCCTCAGTTTGTACCTGATGGGTCTGTTCTATCCTGTTGGCACCAGGAGGGCAGGTGGGAGGGGTAGAGGGTGAGTATCATGCCATTGGTGTACTGTTTGACCTGCCTAGTAGAAAGCAGCCACACAGGGCCCCTGTGAAGGCTGGGCCAGGAGGGGAGCTTTGAAGAGAACCACTAAGGGAGGGAAGAATGGGACATGGGGTTTGGGTAAAGTGTGGCAGATGCTGTTCACAAGCAGTCAAACCTGCTGCAGGACCTGGCTGGGGCTGTGGGTGAGTTGAGGTGGAAAGTAAGATAGCTTGGGCTAGGTGCTCAGCTCCTGCCTACTTCACCTACTGTACTGGTTTATTCTGCAGCTGGAAGAGCTGAACTTCCCAGAGATCAAGCGGCGGAAGGTAGAGGACAGTAAGGAGGAGGACAGAAGGGAGTTTAAAGACCTCTTTGACCTGAATAGTTCTGAAGATGAGGAAGTCACAGATTTCTCAGAGAGAAGTGAGCCTGAACTGCTTCAGCATGTACTTCTGGGAAGGAGTAGGCATGACGGGGCCCAGATCTGGTCTGGTGGGGGCAAACCTGTTTCTGCCTCTTAGTCTCTGGCTCCTCCTTTCCCTTTTAGGTGGGGGTCTCCCTGGGATTGGGCAGGGCCTTCCCTAACTGCTCTACCACACTCTCCACCTGTGTGTGGGTGGGGGTGTGTCCCATTCCTGTAGCCCAGACATGTTGGCCAGGTAGGTGTCCAGTCAGGGCTATGTGCCTGGTTTCCATCGCCCCCCCAGCCAGTCCCACTATGCCTTTGCGGGTGGGCCCCGGATAGAGGAGTCATGAACATAGGCTCTTCTTGGTCTTCAGGGAGAGCTGGATCCCTGCGAGATGGGCAGGAGGCACAAGTAGAAGAGGATGAGGGGGATGACCAGGAAGACGAAGAGGAAGAGGACAGCAGTGCCTCAGGGGGTAAGTGGTTCGCCTGGAGCCCATCTGGCAGCTGGCTGCAGGAGGGTGGCTCTAAGCCAGGCTTGTGCTCCTCCCTGGGATACCAGACCAGCTGTTCTGTTCTCAGGGGCTCTGGCAGCCAGCTACAGCAGCACCAATAAATTAATTAGTACTGTGATTAATTAGTGATGAGTAACCTCCAAGACTGGCTTCTTCCTGATAAAGCGGAATTTATGTAGCCTCATCTTTCCCTGCAGACGGAGGCCCAGACGCAGAGGCGGGGTTGGTCCCTGGCGAGCTGTGGCGGCTGGCTGAGGGGCCAGAGGATGAGCTTGAGGATCTGCAGCTCTCAGAGGAGGACTAGGTCTCCTACAGTGCCCCAGAGGTCCTGAGGCCAGTGTCTCTGCAGTCTAAAGGGCAGTCAACAGTTACAGCATGGCAGGCCAGACAATGAGGACTGTGCTAACCTGGAAACAGGAGCTGGAAACCGGCATGGTGGAGTCTGCCTGCTGCCCAGAGGAAGACTAGCCTTACTCCCAGGATGCAGGCAGGTTCCCTGGCCTGTCTCCTTGTCTTTGGTTTGTCTGCAGATTTCTGCAGTTACCCCCAGAGTCTTTGGAAACTTGCCCTTCTTAAGTCACATGTTTTTCCTTTTAAAAATTCTCAAGTGTTTCTGCATCAAAAACAAAAGGAAAAAATGCCTGGGGGGGGGGTAGGGGACCACATATGGAGTTGGGGAGTGCCAGTGGCCCACCCGCATGCTCAGCACAGAGGTTGGGAAGGGTCTGGGGCCCCAGGGAGCAGAGCCATGGTTGAAGTTCCATTCTCCTGCTTGGGGGAGGCTCGGCCTGCACAGGGGTGGTTCCCTCCATAAGGGGAGGTGGCTGTTGGTGACTGCTCTCCTGGGGTGAGCTCTTCAGGACCCCGCAGGGTTGGTGGCTGCAGTGGCAGAGCCACAGGGAAGCTGGCCATGTAGAAAACTCGACCCAAGCGCTTGGCCACCTACAAAGAGACAAGCCTAGATAGGCACCTGCCAGAGAAGGGACCTGGGGGAGACTGTCCTTTGGGCACAAAGCCTTTGTCCCCCACGTCACACTCACCTGGGCTCGGATCTTAAGGGCAGGCCCCAACTTCAGCCCCATGGTGGTCAGCAGGTGCTCTTCAGTCAGCAGAGGCAGAGTCTCCCCATCAATCCCTTGTTCTCTGAACACCTGGGTGGGAAGGGCCTACTGATCAGCCCAGCAAGGGCCCCAGGGCAGAACCAAGAAGAGCAGTCTGCATCTTATAGGGGAGAGTCACAGGAAAAGAAAGCCCCCCTTGTGTGCGTGGGCTGTGTGAAATCAAGACGGGCTGGTAAGGGACTGAAGGGTGGGCAGCTGGTAGTCCCACCCAGCCCCAGGGGCCAGAGCTTCCTTACCTGAGTATACTCTGCACAGCCCGACAGGCCTCCCACAAAGTTGCAGACTTCATCCACGGTCCACTTGCTGATGTCCTCTGGAGCTGTGGCCTCCTCTCCATCGGAGAAGAGCCCCCCCATGGTGCCTAGATGTGTGCAGCAGTGTCAAGAGGGATCTGGCCCATTTCTTCCCATGTCCCCACCCCTTCTGTTGACCTTTACTTGCTCAAATTAAGATAGGATGGCTGACTAGAAAGGTTTTTCTTCCCAAAGGAACCGCCCACTCAAACTCCCATGGATGGTCAGACTGAGTCTGTCTCCTGCTTGTGGGTGCCCACCTGTATGGAAGTAGGGGCTAACCGTATAGGGGAAGCCCAGTGGCAGCGGTGGGGGCAGGGCGGACCCTGAGAGAGGCCCTTTCCCTTCCATGCGGGCCCCTCCAGCGGGGACTTGGCCCGGGGTGGAGCCCTGGCTCCCAGCAACTGCCATCTCCAGGTCCTCTCCATCTGAGTCTTTGAGGGGCTCATCCTCTGCGCCATCTTGAGCCCAGAGCCCAGCCCCTGTTGTCTCTTTAGACTCGCTGGGCTGGGCTGGGGTAGAGGTGGTGCCCCCTTTCCGAAGGGCTCGGCGGGCAGACTCGCGGGGCGGAGTCGGGGGCCCTGGGCCCGGCGGGCCTTGGGGAGGCAGGGCTAGCAGCGGCGCGGAGCTCTGTTTCAGCACTAGCAACGCCCCGCGCCGCTGCACCTCCTCCGCGCTGTCTGGGGCGCGCAAAGCCGCCTCGGGCGCCAGCAGCTGTGGCCGGTGAGCGCTCTCCAGCTCCTTCTGTCGAAGCAGTTCCGCTGACATCTCCAGCCTGGCCCGGGGAAAGGAGAGGGCGGGTCAGCTGGGGGGTGCGCCTACCACCACCCCGCTGGCTTCTGGCACCTACCGAGCCAGGCTCTGCTTCCGCAGGAGCTCCTGCTGCCGGGCCAGCATCTCCGCCTGGGCGGGGGGCAGGAAGCCATAGCCTGGTGGAAGGGGACAGCCCGGGGCTAGCGGTACAGGCCACCCAAACTGGCCCTCTACACCCCCTCGGTATCAGACCTTGACCCCCTCAGGAAAGGCCTCACTGCCCACCCACCCCCGCCCGAAGGGCTTGTACACCACCTGCGCCTCACCTGGAGTCTGGCACAGAGCTGACGGCACCCCCAAAAAGGGGGGCCTGAGATGGGAGCCCAGGGCGATGTGGGAGGCATTCTGGGGCGACAGCAAGGGGGGCGGCTGGGACAGCTCCCTGTGGGCGGCAGAACGTGGGCGGCGCGCCGCGGGGCCCAGCCCCCTCCACACCCAACCTTCCCGTAACCCCCCTCGGCACACCCCCACCCCTCCCGCCGCTAATTGCTGGCCCCGCGGGCGGTCGATGCGCCAGCTCCTCAGGGCTCCGGGTCGTGCGCCGCCCCCGCCCCCGCCGGCGGCGCCAATTAATCTCGGCGGCGGCGCGGAGGCGCTGACCCGGCGGGCGGCGGCGACTGCAGCGGTAATTACCGAGCCAGGCCGCTCCCTCCCCTTCTTTGCCCGCTCCCCCACCCCCCGCGGGCCCCCGCAGCCCGGGCGCGCGGCTTAATTAGCTGCGATCCGGAGCTCGGCGCCTGCAGCTGGCCGGCCGCAGGGGCGGCCCGCGGGAGGCCGTCTGCGAGCTCACAGATCCGGCGACCGCCCGGCGGCGCTGCTCAGGCCCCCCACACTCACGCCCCAGAGTCCTCGGCCGAAGGCGGGATTCCCCCTCCGCCTTCTGCTTCCCAACCTACCCCACGCCAAGGGGGGCCCTCAGTGTCGCAGGGGCACCTGGATTCTGCGGCTCCCGGGTTGCCCAGCAAGGAAACCCGAATGGCCTTTCGCATTCTTGCCCGGGGCGGTGGTCACCCTCACATTCTGCCTCACTAATTTCCTGGGACCCTGGCAGCAGACCCTAAGCCAAAGGTTGAGCACTGCGTGTGCGACAGCTGGGGTGTGGGGTGGCCACCCCAGTACCTCTCGGAGAAGGACGCGGCAGCAGTTGGCGTGGGGCCCTCGCGGTGTTGTGCCAGACCCTGCTTCCGGCGCTGACCTGCGGCAGATGAGGGCAGGTGGACATCCAGACCACTGGGGCTCCTCAATGCTGCAGCTGCCACCTCCTGCCGGACCCTCAGGAGATCTGGTGGAGGCGGGCAGTGACTCAGGCCAGGCTCGTGTAGGATTTCCCCCATCCTGGAAGCCCTGTAGCACCTGAGCTACGGCAACTCCCACTACCTCCCTGCTAAGTCAGCCCTAAGGATGGCTGGGACCTGAGCAGGAGCAGTCACAGGGCAGGGGAGATGACAGATCCTGGAATGAGGTGAGGACCCCCCCCCCCCATAGCTCCAGGAGACCCTCAGGACAAGGCTTCTGGGCCAGCCCTGGAGGTGACGTGAGAAGAGCCCAGGAATTGGAGTGGGTTTCAAACGGGGCTGCCTCGTGACTGCCTCCTGGATAAGAGCTGAAAAATTTGAGATCTTGACACCCAGAGACAGCTGGAAAGAACTTGTCACTTTTGGCCACAGAAGTAGACACCATCACCATCCAGCGTTGCCACCGAGGCCCACAGGCAGGACCACGCGGGTCCCCACACTCCCCCTCGAGAGCTGCTCTGCCGCCGCAGCCTCTGTTTATAAATTAATTACCCGAAAAGCGGAGGTGGGCCTGCCCTGGGCCACGCGCCAGCCCGCAGAGCCGAGCCCTGCCGCCCGCCCGCCCGCGTTGATCCCTGCGGGGCCCCCGCCCGCGCTATTTGGAGCCGGCTCTGCGGCCGGAGGTGGCGCGCTTGATGATTGACAGCGGGCTCCCAACGCGGCGGAGACCCTCCCCCGCACAGGCCAGCACAGCCAGCCCCAGGCAGGGCACGGAAAGCAATTAAAAAGGAAGATTTTTAAATTATTAACATTTGGTGAATTATTCAGGCTCTTGGTGCCTGAGCTGCCCTGGGGAACGGTGCCTTGTGCAAGGAGAGGAAGTCCTGCCCCCTCCCCGCTGCGGCCCCGCCAGAAAAGCCAAGCTTCCATTGCAGAGCTGGGAGGGTAAGGCAGAGTGCAGTGGACTTGGTGTCCCTGGGGATGACCAGAGGGTCAAGCAAGCCTACTGGGTGGTGAGGCAGGAGCAGTGCTTCGCCCTGGGGCTTCTGAGCAGCGAGACCACGGTGGCCAAAATCCTAGATGCCCCTGTCCAGGATGATCTGGTACAATCTCAGCATGACCACAGGTCAGTGTCCACTAACGTACGCTTCTGCCCTGACTACTGTGGGAGTGAGGAGGATCCGAAACATGCCTCAGGGGCTCCTAAACAGGGGAGCAGGTGGCCTGCTCAAGTCTCACATCCCCTCTCACCTGGGCTCACCCATGAGTTAGGTGTGGGCCTGGTGGACTTGGGAGCGGTGGCACCCAAGAATAAGCAGCTAGGGGCAGAGCAGCACATCCTGTCCTGGTTCCCATGGCAGCCAGATATCCAGGGTCTTATAGAGGGTGCCTGAGGGGCACATTTGAGGGGCAGGGATCATATAGGGGCACGCACCATGACTTGGGAGGCCCAGTGGGTAGAGACGCTGAGGGTCCTCAAAGGTGCTGGCCTCACTGAGGGCTGACACGAGCCGCCGGTAGTGGTCCTCAGGGGCCATGCTGGGCCCCAGTTCTGGCAGTAGCAGGGTCTCTGCATTGGGGGAACATATGGTGAGGGTGCTTCTTAAGTTAATGCCAACAGGCAGAGGCAGGGCCCCCTCTTACAACCCTCTCCCCAGGACTAAGGGGTCCTCAGGGCTCAAGGACTAGACCTGCTTCCTCCTCCAAGGATCTGTCTCCCACCCCTGGGCAGGCTCCCACCTTGCGGGGACTTGCTTCGGGCCCGCTTTTCTGAAGAGCAGTCACTGCTGATGTGGGAGGAGCAGCCCAGCCTCTTGCCTAACAAGTCACCTGTGAAGGGAGGAGATCAGGGCTTGGGGAGGAGGAATTTAGGGAAGGCCAGGTGGGGAGGAACCAACCCCTGCCCCAGCTCAGCCCAGAAACCCTGCCCACCATCACTCAGGGGACCCTTTGTCCTGGCCTTTGCCTGATGAGCCAGCAGGCCCAAGGATATTATGGCAGGGGTGTGCACAGAGGTAGTGGAAAACTGGGGACAGACTCCTACAGGAATCCCACAGCCCCGACCAACCAGTCTAGTCTCATGTGCAAGTTCGTGGCTGTTCCTGACTCCAGCTGGAGAACAGAATCTACCTTTTCCTCCTAGGAAATGGGGGTGCAAGGGTGGGGGGCAGGTTGAGAAGGCACCCCCCCACCTCTTCCTGCTCAGTGAAGTCCCCTCCACTCCTGGGCCCTCCCCAGCCCTGATACCAGAAGGTGGGGTCCTTCCTCTCCATTGTACTTGTCCTTGGTTGTCACACACCTGCCCACCTGCCCAGCCAGGCCCTGTGCTCCTGCGGGAACCCAAAGCCCCTGGATGCCTGGCACCAGGCTAGGCCCAAGCCCCATTCCTGATGTCCCCTGTAGGGCCCCACAGTTCACACCTCCATCACCAACCCAGCCCAAGCACCATGTTGCCAGTTCCTCCTGAGCCTTTTGACCCAAAAGCCAGAAGTTTGCTGCCTTTGACCCAATAGCCCAGGCCCTGCTGCCTCTGGCTCTCATTCTTACCAGTCCCTGGGTGTGTGTGTGTGTGTGTGTGTGTGTGTGTGTGTGTGTGTGTGTGTGTGTGTGTGTGTGTGTGAGAGAGAGAGAGA